CATTCTGGAGAAAAAAACCCTACGAAAATAATAAAAGATCAGTGATTTTATTGGGTTTGATGGGGAGCAAGAGGGAAAGAAAATATGAACAGACAAAACACAGGATTTTTAGGGCAGCATTATGATGCTATAATAGTAGACACATGTCATTATACATTGGTCTAAATCCAAAGAATGTACAACACTGAGAGTGAGCTATAATATAAACTATGATCTTTGGGCAATTATGCTGTGCCAATACAGACTACTCAATTGTAATAAATGTGCCATTCTGGTGGGGTATGTTGAAAATAGGGAAGGCTATGCATGTGTAGGAGCAGGGAAATCTCTATCTTCCTCTTGATTTTGTTTGAGCCTAAAATTGCACATGCAGGTATACATGCACACAGAGTACTTTTTTAAAAGGACAGAAAAAGGGAGCCAGGCATGGTAATGTGTGCCTGCAGCTACATGGGAGAATGAGGCAGGAGGACCCAGTAGTTCGAGTCCAGCACAGCAAGACCCTGCCCCCCTCCATACAGATATACATACACACATGTACACGCACACACACACACACACAGACACACACACAAGACAGAAAAAGAAGGCAGTTAAAACAAGCAACAATGTACCCCATCAGAAGTGAATCAGTTGAGTTAAAGCTGTCAAGGATTAATTCTAGTCCCCATTCCCTTAACCTCCAGGATTGATATCAATAGCAAATCAACTCCTTATTCTCATTATTTCTACTCTGCAAAACACTTTTGGGCTCAGTTAGCTTTACATTATTATTACTATTATTTTGGTGTTTTGAGACAGGATCTCACTGTGTATCTCAGGCCAGGCTCAAATTCATGATCCTTGTGCCTCAACTTTCCAAGTGCTGGGATTACAGGTATATGCCACCATGCTCATCTTAAATTATATCTTTTAAAAAATGTATCTTTATTTCCTTATCTTTTTGTTTGTTCTAATAAGGACAATTCCTGAGTAACTAATATTAGAAATAGATAATATCAACGGAAAATTCTTCCAGGTTGCTAAAGGACTTAATTACTGAATTTGTGCTATAATAGCCCTGTTAGAAAATTTGCTATGGAGACTCATTCTTCAGGGGATAACTCCTCAGAGGTTAAGCTTGTGAATTAATACTCTCTTATGAAACACTTTTTTGAGCCAAGTTAATTCTTGGAAGAGGAGAGGTGAAAATTCTCTAGTTATTTCTTCCAGACTCTTTGTAAAGCTCCAGGCAATATCAAAAGAGACATCCTGTACAAACAAGCCTCGCCACTGAGGGTCAGGCCATGGAAAGACCAAATGGAAAGAGACAGCTCAGCAGCCTTGGATTAAAGGCCAAATATTTTAGAGAGAGTGCATTTGATTATGTCAAATGGACTCATGGCACTTTCTGTAGCAGAAAGACATTGCAGAAAGGTAAAAAGGTCACCAAGATGTACTCACAGGGTGAAAGTCTCCCCAGGATGGAGATGTCTCTTAAAAGAATTTTGTTTTAAATGAGTTAAGGTCTTGTTATAACAAAAGTACAGTATCACCACCAATGTGGATTTCTGGGAAAGAAGGATCTTTACAGACTAAAGTAGGGCCATCTAACAAAACTTTCTCTGACAACGGGCATGCTTCACATCTTCGTGATCCAAATGGAAGCTAGTTAGACATACATGACTGTAGAGTATTTGAAATGTGGCTGATGCAACTGAAGAACTGAATTTTAATTTCAATGATTTTAAATAAAAATAGCCACATGTGTCTAGTGGCTACTATACCGGATAATGCAGGAAAAGGCTTAGACCATGGTTTGGAAAAATGACCCAAGAGGCTATCACAAGAAAATCTTGCATATAATATTCTGATCAGCTGGGAAAACACTTTCTCAGTACCTTCCCCATAATAAACATAGACACAATTTGTAAGCTATCACTACATCAGAAACCATTAGATAATGTAGTACTTCTCCAATTTTAGCACCTATCAGAATTACCTACGGATCTTGATAAAATACAGATTATTACTGAGATTCTGATGCAGTAGGTCTGTAAATTTCTTTCTTTTTTTTTTTTTTGTACCGGGGCTCAAACTCGGGACCTTTAGCTTTCAAGGCAGGCAGCGGAACCACTGAGCTAAATCCCCGACCCTATAAATTTCTAACAAACATCCAGTAATTCTGATGCTACTTGTCCAGGGAGCACACTTTTTCTGTCAGACTAGAAAATAACTTCAGCATCAAACACCAGCCTACTCCTACCAAAGCAAAGCTTCTCTCACTTCTCACCTTTCCACATGGAAGGATCTCTTTCTCCAAGGTACACAGAATCCTCAAGCATGTTTACAAGTTTTGCTTAACACCTAGGATTATTAGTATGTGGCGGAATGCAAATAAACAAGGCCTTCTATAATGGCTTCTCCACATTTTAGAATCCAGCTAGAGTGTAGCTGATGCAAATTTGTAAGCAAGTCTAATAATCACTGGGACTGGAAACATACAGGGAGGGAGGAACTCAAACCTGCCAGGACAGTTTATATCTAATCCCTTCACTGAGCCTCTCAGAGTGGAGCTGAGGCTCTCTACTAAAATAATGTAGATTACTTCAGGTCTAGGCTATAGTTATAACCCTCTTCACTATTCCAATATGCAGTACTAGAAGAATAGCAAAAGAACACATGCCATATTAAAAGCATTTTAGTTTTCTACTCCGAGGGCATATATTGGAGATAATCTATTTCTACATTCTCAAAGAAAAGAACAAACCATAAGGGTTCTATAACAAAAGCAGATTTCTCTAATCATTCTCTGGCCCTTATTATAGTATTTGCAAAAATGTGTCGAGATCAGCAGTTATTTGTGAGGATATCTTTCTTTTAGAGATTACTTCTTTATGCCCTTTGGTCTAACTACTCATGACTTACTTTAAAATTAAGAGATCATCCTGTCAAACGCAATTTGCCTGACTGCTCTTCTGAACAGTCTTCCTCACTGAACAGCCTTATCCACTCTTCTTAACTTTGCAAAGGCAAGCCTTCATCCACAATATAGTGTTCCAATGAACTAGAACAAGAACCTTCAAAATGAACTCAGAATCCAGTACTATTTATTATTTCCTTCACTATTAACCCTTTGCCCTTTTTCAAACTGCTACTGTTCCCAACTACTGCCATCACAAGGATTAGGAGTAATTTTCAGGTCCTGAAAATTTGAGGAGACCATTATAGTTTAGCATTTATGGAGCCTCCAAGTGGTCACACAGTACTATGTACATTACTTCCATAGGTTATTGATTTATTAAGAAAGATCTATTTTACAGGTAGGAAAACTGAAGCAGGAAGAAAGTTAAATGATTAAAATAAAGCCCCAGAGGAACTTAGAGCAAGTTAAAATCACTGTACTCCTTTAACCGTGGTCCTCAGCCAGGGGCAACTTTGTCTCTAAGGAAATATTCAGCAGTGTCTGGAGATATTTTTGATAGCCATAATTGTTGGGGGAGGTATGAGCATTTAGTGAGTAGAGGCTAGGAATAGTGCTAAACATCCTACAATGCACAGGACAGCCTACACAAGAACTGCCTGATTCAAAATACTTCCAATGTTGAGAAACCCTGGTCCACTGGCATCTAGCATTGCTTTCTTTGGCCCTTATCAATAAAGAATGGTTCCCTCTATACTGTAATTTGGTCCTTATATAATATTTACACAGAAACATGCAAGTTGAGTCTATTTCTGGCATGCTGTATTCTTTAATTATTTTTGAAATGGAAGATATATGGGAGCCACAGAGGAAACCGAGAGAGGCCAGCAAATCCCACCTTCTTTCTTATAACAAGAAAACCTAGCAAAGACCAATTTCTCTCATTAGCAACCTCCAGGCCCTGAGCTATGGTCTGCATTGGGCTGCTCACCTGGACTATGCTTGCAGATCCCTTTCCCTGTTTTGCTTATCTCTAAGCATGTGCATCATTCCAGAGCAGTAATGATGTGTATTTATGGGAATCTACAGAGATCTGTAGCCCTTAATTGTCTATTTTGTTCAGTAAATTGTGCTCATTACTGAGCCACATGAGGTACCTAAGTACATCAGCCTTTGTGGGTGCCCTCTGAGCCAGGGTAATGGGACATTAGCTAGCAAGGGCTTCACAGTATTGAACCTGGCTGCTTAAACCATACCTATATCCAGCTTTTCAGCTGATTACTTTTTTTCTTCACCTCTTGTCCCTTTTTCTTAACTTTCCTTACCTCTGCTTACATTAATATTAATCCTACTTTTCTCTTCAAGGAGTTTAGTTTAAGCTCTAGAAGTTGAAATGTTCAGAAAAGAACTGATGTCCTTTCCACCTCTCCTTTCTAGCCCACCTGGATTCTAAGAAAGGTGCACCAAAAAGTAAATTTCTCCTGCTGGTCTTGAAAATCTTAGGCACAAACACAAATTCAAAGCCAGCTTTGAGATGTTCCCAACACCCACAGGCACTACACACAGATAAGGAGTGAATAAGCATGTGACTTCCAGTGGCACTGGATGAAATAAAATGGAATGGACAGAACTACATGCTTTACTATTGCTATTATCCACCAAACCAGGCAACTTCAACCCCCATCAAGGTATTTCCTTCATTTAAAAAAGTGACTAGTAAAGGAAAAATTAAGGAGAGTCATCCATAGAGGATGAGGATAGTGGGAAAAGAAAATATGAGGTATCAAAGCTAACAATATGATATGGCTTCAAGAAAAAGTCATCAGGCCCCATTTCCTCTTTTACAGTATACCGGGGGAAGGCCCAACAATCTTTTCCATATGAATTACATCCTTTGCAAACTCACTAAAATTTCTGAGTTGAGATATTTTCATGTACAGACTCCATCCCATCATCTTTACTAATTTGCATGGTATCTATGAGCCAAATCAGTAAAGCTTTGGAAGATTTTAACAGACAGGGGTTCCTACTGCACTGACTCCAAGAGGTACGTGAGACAAAGATGGAAAAACAATGGCAGGGAATGCCTTTGCCTTACCCTGGAGTAGAGGGTGTGGAAGCCTTCAAACGCACTCACATCCTCATCACCTATCAGTTCCATTGCTTTGCACCACTTGCTCACTTCTGCATGTTGAACCACAACTGGCTGATCACCAACTGCCAAAAACAAAAATTGAATGAATGCATTAGGGCAAAGGACTTACAACTTCAAGGCTCAAGCCACTGTTCAAGTGAATTTATTAGAGTAGACTAAGTGCTTAACACAGAGACTCAAACCTCTATAATGGTTGAAACTGGATAAAAGTTCATTTCTGGCTCCTGAATGGATACTGGACAGTGGAAGGTCAGTCAGTGGGGTGGGCCTGATGTAAGTCCTGCATCTTTAAAACTAATTTCCAAGGTTTCTTTAGGGGCCCTTTCCATTCCACCCAGCTGGAATGGAATACAGCATGGAGGAACTCACCTGGGTGGGGGATGTTGGTGTGTCCATGTGCACTTTTTCTCCCAAAAGTGGTTCACAACATCTTCCCACTTCCTGTCACATTGGCAGGCTAAAACACAATCATACAGCCACAACTGCCCTCATGGGCTTGGCAGCTAGCACTCTTTATCTTATAAGGCTGACTTCAGTCAGCTCAACCAAGAAGACATCATTAGGTTTACAGCAGAGAGTTCTGGGTGACCTACTAGCAAATAATCTTGACTTAGTTAATTAACAACACTAGGTCTCAGTCTCCACATCTGCAAAATACCCTGCCTCTCTCACAGGGTCAACATAAGATTCAAAACGAAGCAAAGAAACACTTCTCAGATATCAGTGTGCAAGTATATCATCTAAGCACCTTTTTTTTTTTGGTACTGGGGATCAAACTCAGGGACCTTGTGCTTGCAAGGCAGGTGGCACCACCACTGAGCCCCTCATCTAAGCATCTTGAGAAAGTCCAGACTCTTGACTTGGTAGTCTAGGAGAGACCTGAGATTCTGCATTTCTAATATGCTTTCAGGCCTTATCCATGCTGTGGGCCTGTGCCTCTACTCTGAGTAGAAAAGAGATCCAAGATTAAAGAACATTTTTATAAACTTTGCACACAATAATTTGCAGATATAAAGAATTCTTATATTAGCACTCATTTTGATTATAAATGAGTTCCCGACTAGCCAGTATTTTAAAAATACAATCAAGATACCAGATAGAATTTCATAGAGTCACAGGATTTTGGAGCAAGAAAGAACTTAGGTGGTCTTTGTTTTCTTCCCTTATTTTCAGACAAAGAAATAAACTCAGAAGTAGTTGATGTCACTCCCTTCCCCAATTTTCATAATAACTTAGCAATGTGCTGGGACTAAAATCTAGAAATTTGACTTTTTTATTATATGAATTCAATCAATAACCTTATAAAGAAGAAAAGGTAATTTTTATTCTGCTAAAGCAAGAACAGATATTACTCTGGCCTAATAGTGCCAGAAGATCACATATACCAGCATGGGTCATCACAGTACTGAGAGTAGCGAAAATATCAAAGAACACTAATCAAAACATTTTTCAAGTACATGTCCTTTACAATGCAGTGATTCTCCACCAAAGTTATCTCTCGTGGGTCAGAAATGGGAATGGAACACAAAATAACTTCTGTATGCCTTCTGGCAAAAGCAAGAATTTTTACTTCCAATATATACAAACTCTGAGTTACTCCTACTTAAGGATAATTTTCAAAAGAGAAATCTTGGAATTGCAAATAGTGAAGGGAGATAAATAATTAGCCAAGAAGGTGCAATGATTTTCCATGGTATACCTTGAGTACAAATAAAAGAACCTATAGAATTTTTTTAAATCCTTAGCATGTAAATTATTTTGTATCTCTCAGATACTAGTGGGTCCTGGGTACCTACAGTAGAACATGAGATGTACTACACTAGAAGTAAAAGATGAGAGTCAAAACTCTAAATTATAAATCAGAACATACTGATATGTGGAAATCAAATTAGACTGTGGGAGACAGGAGCACACCATCACCAACAGAGGAACTTGAACTTGAAAGTGTTCTGGTGAAATTAGGAAAGTACTTATTGAGCAAGGAACAATAAATGGAAATCAATACATACATATACATTATTTAAAATGGCTAAAATGCTGTTCTGAGCCTCTTCATTTTGTAAGCAATTTTAAATATTGTAATAAAGGTAAAATGTTCCTAAGAACTTCCAAAGGCATATTCCTATACTTCATCCCCAAACCTTTCTACCATGATATCATTAGTTCCTCAATCAAGAATTTTTCCATCTTGGCAATTTTCCAGAAACTATCCTACAATTGTTCCCTTATTTTTATGTCACAGACCCCTCTGGTAGGCTGTTGAAGCCTAAGGACTCCATAAAATCTTAATGTATAAAAGATATAGTGCTTAAAATTACAAAGGAAGTAAATCATACGCAAATAATCTCCTATCCAGACTCAGGACCCAATGTAAGAATATTTGATTGGGAAATGACTATTTTAGGACAATACAAGTTTTTCTTACAGAAAACAGTATGTAGAAAAGTTTTTAAAACTCAGTGATGTACACCAAAGAACCCTGCTCAGGGTCACTCAGTGAAGAAACAGCTGCAAAGAAAAGTTTGACTTGAATTTCTGCCCATGCCAAAGCTATTCGTGCTGTGGCTGTAAAAGTCTACATCAAGGAACGTTCTTGGCCCAGCCCTGCAGACACTGAATTTTCTTTTCCCTGACAGCAGGTGAAGGAGGTAGTATTGGGGAAGAGAAGACCACAGTGGGCCCCAAGTTTGGTGCCTAGTTCTTCAATAAATTCTCAACCACTAATGTATTCTCTTCCACTACTAGCTTAGCTAAATCACTCAGCTGTGAGTTCAAACTCCTTATGAAAAAATGAGGTTAAATTAGGCCATCTGTAGAATTTCTTCTAACCCCGAACTATGAGTATCTTAAGACAATGCACCAACATTTCTCTGGGAAGAAATATTAGGAAGATTTATTTTTACCTTAAGTATACTTATAGTATGAAAAATATCTTCTCAATGAAAACTTTCCAGAGACTTCAGACATACCTTATGAGACTAACCTAACCATAGAACTATAGACTTGGAAGGAATTTTAAGAGATACTAATCTCACCAAACCCAGTAAACAGGTAAGAAAAATGAGGGTTAGAAAAGCAAAGGGATTTATTTGTGGTCACATAATAAGGCAATGTTAACGGACCACTGTAACAGTCTAGTACCTGTAGGATTTCAGGGTTTGGCACTGGTACTAAAAATTAGTTCATTCCTGCACTTGAAAGAGACAAGAATAAACCTCAAATGAGCTGAGGCATAAGATGGAACTGTACATGGGGCAATGGTACCCTAAAACAGTACATTGTATCTCAGACAGGGTCGAGAACTGAGGTCCCCTTTCTACTCTATGACCTCCCCATTACTGGCAAAAGCATCCACTTCCCTCAAATATTATGTCCACAAATCCAAATCAAGGAACTGTCCATATCAGTCAAATAACAAAGAATAATTATCTCAAGACTGGGAGATGGCTGAAGAAACCCTGTATAATAATGTCAATAAAACCAAAGTTCAAGTTTTTTGTGGTTAATACAATCTTGAAAGATCAACATTAGTTAAGAAAATCTAAAAGCACTTGTTAGAAATTTTATTTTGACCTATCCTCTATGGTCATTTCTGGAGTTGGTGATTAATCAACATTATTTTCATTAGAACTCTCACTGCTATCTTCAGAATATGCAACTACTGAATACTGATCAGATTTTACAGTCTACATATATGTAAAATATATATGTATATTTTCATAATTCCAACTATGTGTAGAGTAGCTTTACATACCAATAATTAGAAACAATGAAAGTTGTTGGACAAACTGAACCAATCATGGTCAAGACATCATACTGAGTTAACCAACATGTTTGCCAAATGCCTTTAAGGCTTATGCTATACTTGTCATTTACTGTTTCCTTCTCCCCTCAGAAACACACATGCAAAATAATCCACAAACACACTTCATTCCGCACAACACACATTATTTCTGCCTTACATAGTTATATCTATCCGTACTATTGTCTTTGAGATTCTCTTGGAGAACTGATAATAGCCTTCAAAACTTTGAGACTAGAGGCTCCACACGGCTAGTTTGACAGCTCTGGTGATCATTTCCTCCAGGAATTCCCAGAGGCAGCAGCGCCATCTACCGGTAGGGAGGGTACAACTTGTTTTGGGAAGCCTGCGGACGACAGGTGCCAAAGACCCCAAACAACAGTAACCTAGATTTGCGACTTTGTGAGGCTTTCTTTTCCAAAGCACATTGCAGTGTAACTGCCACTTACAGCCCAAGACATGAGGCCTCCATAGGAGCCTCCCCACAAGAACCGCAGGTCCTCTGGAAGCCATAGAAAGCCCATCCACTTTAGCCAATGAGGAGGCTCTGCCTGGAAATGCCACCTCCAGGCTCCAAAGGCAAGCTGCAGACTCACTGGATTAAACATTTCCTGGCTTTCCTCTTTCCAAGTGCTTCCCTATCAGATTATCTCACCCAGTGTCCCCACCTGTGGCAGTGCTACCCAGCTTTATCTTCTGGCACACACCAAACGTAAGGAAGGTACACTGACATCTTTCAATGTGAAGGCTCTTAGATTTACACAATGTGACACAGATCCTCCTCAAAGGACATGGCTGCTTAGGTATGCAGCTCGGACTCTAATCTCTCTCATTCAGTCTTCATCCTCCCTGTCCCTGACCCAGGGGACAGAAATGACAGAAAGGAAATGATTTTGCTGTTGCCTTGAAAACAACACTATGGGCTTTTATTGACTCAGAGGATAAAACCTTGTTCTATGGGTCACTGAGGTACACGGCTTCCCTCAAGTTGATCTAAGCCTGCCAATCATCCAACTGGCCTGCATAACCTACTCAGTGTTTTTCAACCTTTTCAGAACCCCTACCTCCCTTCCACAGGCTAAACGAACAGTGCAAGCCTTTTCTGCAGTTTATAAACAAAATCACAATTTTTCTCTAAAAATAAAAGCACGTTCCTTTCTCAAACTGGGCCACCTACTTTACCTTCAGAGTCCGTTCTTCCTCCTCACTACCCAGCAGTTCAAAAAAATAATCATTGACAAAATTTGAAATTATTCCCATTAATTTGCTTTGTGTTCCAATCTATCAGGTAACAACCTATATTTCACTTATTAGGGTCATTTGTGACATTCCCAGTGAGTTTTCACGGCAACTTGTTCTTTTACTTTCATTCATCTCAGAAAACCACCCAAAGTTGACTTACTACAGCTGATAAATCTGAGTTTTTGAGTCCCCCTAACAAATAAATATTGCTTCCTTAAAAAAAAAAATTTGTGAACTTCCCTCATAAACTGTTTTCTCAGCAAATGCACACATTTTACAAACCTGGCTTGTGTTTTAGATGTCTGAATATCAGATTGTTTCCTAAAGAAACACAACTTATAGTACAGGGAATAAGGAGTACTGAAAGAGTTTTGAAGTGATATCAGGATATCTCTGAATCTGGTAGAGATCTTTGTTCATCTCATACAGATGAACATACAGAATATAATAAAACCTTCATAATAACTGTTAGTTGAACCCATTTTTTACTGAGCAGATTACCAGGTACCTCCAACAAATTAACAAACGAAAAACTGAAGAGACTGTTTATGTCTCACTGAAGATGTATGGTATGGTATGCCCTGGCTATTCTGGGTCTGGGGAAATGGAGGTGAGGCAGGAGATATCCTGCCCAGTTTAATCAGCTCTTAAACTCCTAGGCACACCCTCCCCCTTTTAAAGTATGCTCTAAAGGAGACATCTCCCCCTCAGAGATACACCCCTCTCTCGGCAGCCAAACGGTCTTTTTAAAACGCACACTTTTCAAAGAATTAAGGAGGTCTGAACAGGTTCAACTTAGACCCTGCCTTCCCTCTCTCTACTGCCCATTAACATGGTGAAAATAAGCACCCACCCCGGCAGCCCTAGAAATTACCAAACCTCCCCCCTTCTTATCTTCTTGAAGAAGAATTTCAGTGTGATGGTCTGGTCTGCAGTTCACTGCAGGCATTTCCCTCCTCACCATTTACCAGGCATCAGTTACGCTGTATCTGTAATTCCTTTTTGTGGCCTCTGATTGAGACCTGCTCCACCGGTGCCAAACTGCTATTTAAAAAAAAAAAATTTTTTTTTGAGCCTCTTAATGGATCTCTGGCTTCCTCGGGCTGGCTGGGAGTGTTGAAGATTTCGGCGAACTCTGGGGCGAGCGCGGCACGCAGGTCCTGCGGGCAGGGCACTCCTCGGGCCGCCCGGGTCTGGTCCCCGCGACGCCCCCACCAGCGCGTCGAGGCAGGAGAGCTCCCCGCACAGCTGCGCTAGGAATTCGGCTTAGCTCGCAGCCGCCGGATTAGTTCGGGTCCGCGGGCTCGGCCAGAGCGACACCACGTTTTCCCCCTTCGTCCCCGAGTCACAGGTCCAGCCGTGTGAAGCCACCTCCCCCAGCCCAGGTCCAGCGCCCGAGGCCGCTCCCGCTCCGCCGCCCGCACGCTGCACCTGGGGAGGGGGGCACCGTCAGCTTCCCCTCCCGGAAGGAGACAAAGGCGGAGGCCAGGCTGCCAGGTGGGCAGAACCGTCGCCGCGGTGGGGAGGATGGGGGGGGGTGCATCCGCGGGCACGAAAAGGGATACCGAGGCAGGGAGGGGGGCAGCTGGGCTGCAACCTCCCCAAAGAGAGCGTCCTGGGGCAGGCCAGACCTACCCTCGCCCATCCCTGCCCAGCCCGCTTGCCAGGGCTAGGCATGGGGGGGACTGGGGACGGACGAGGCTCGCTTACCTCAGTAGAAGCGCTCCGGATCTCTCCGACGGCTCCGGATCTCTCCGACGGCTCCGGAGAAAGCCCCTCCGCTCGCACACGCGCACTCCCGCTCCCGCTCGCGCGCCTTAGCCCCTATGGCCCTGCGCGCGCCCCGCCGACCGGGCTCTGGCCCGCCCCGGCCCTGTCTGTCAGCGTCAGCGAGAGCCAATCCGGTCTCACAGACGGCCTAGCACCGATCACGTGGCCAGGCGAGCCAATCACCAAATTGCCCTCGGCAGCGCCCGCTCCGATATCCCTGCGGGTTCGGTTGCTACCTGGCAGTGCGGATGCAAGGCGGGCACAAAGGGCTGAGTCTCTGTTTTCCGGGCTAAGTGGCGCTAAATTGGTCAGTTAATAGATTGACTGATTTCTCAAATTCTAATTGAAATAAGAAAGACCTGAGCATCTTTTAAAATGCGGATTCTGAGTCAAAAAGTCTGGGGCAGGGACCTGAGAATCTGAATTTCTAACGCACCCCAGGTAGTGATGTCGCTCAGATCTGAGGACCACGCTTTGAGGCGCACCTGTAGGAAAATGATGGTTATAGGCCCTGCTCCATGATACTCCAAAGTTTCTCGACCTTTCTTGTCCTTCCTCCAGTGATGGAAAGCGTTCTAGTGACTAAACATGGAGTGCCTTGATAACGCCAATAAGTTGGGCATCTGCTAAGGGAAGGTGTGTTTAATTTCCACATAACCTACCCATAGATTATAGAGTAGCAACCTGTGCCTACTTGGTGACTGGAGTGTGGAAACTACAAGCAGGGATAGATCGCTCCTTGAAGAGAACGGTAGGTCTTCATGCATCATGAGGTATCAGGTTCTTGGCCAGAGAACAGAAGCCATATAAGTAGTCTCTGCTTTCTCCCCACCGTGGCGAAAATTTGACACTCTTTCATGGAACTGCACAGGCAAGCTCAGAACGGAGCATATAGAAAACCATTCAGGGACCCAACAGTCAAGCACACTGAACAATTCAGACAAATCAGAGAAGTGGTAAAATAAGCTACCTTGGGGGCTATAAACTATTCTCCTGTCCCTAATTCTGGACTCAGGAAACCCAGAACCTCTGCCATCTCTCAAACTTACCTAAACATCAGTGTTTTCAGACTGCACAGCAAGAACATTTTTTTATCTGCATGCCACGCTCTTATTACCCAACAGGGTCCCAAGGTTGTTCAAGAGTCCTAAGTACTAAATTCTCCAAACCATCTTCCAGGCGCTCTGCAGGCCAGGTGGTATGACACTGCTTCAGGCAGTTATAACTCACTATTCATCAAGGTGATCAAACTGCCTCTTAGAGATAAATTCGCCCTCATTAACATGTCTGCTGCCTGTTTCTCTAGTTTCTCAGCCCAGGAACTGAAGCCCACTTAGCAACCTCAGACATTGTTCATCACATTGTCCCTCATCAGCGATGGTACTGTACAAAATTCAGTTTCAGGGAGCACATTAAGTCTACCATAACAATGATTCTGGCTACAATAGGAGCAAAGAAATAGAAAATTTGGTTTAAAATTTCAAAGAAATATTCATCTGCTATCATTAAACCAGGGATTCTTTACCCTGGCTCCATGTTCTTTAGGGGACTAAATCAAGAGCTCTGTGCTGGGAGGAGGAAGGACAACTATAGGTTTGACAAGTTGTGCAGGTGATTAGATATCCAGCAGTGGTTGAGACTGCCTGTTTAAGCTGCTAGATTAAGGAATTCATTCATTAACAAGGTAAAAATCAACTCTGCAACACAAATCACTAAGGGTATAAATGCTCTATAGAGGAAAGTTTCCACATAGTGTTGAAAATAGACTATTAAAAGGCCAAAAAATAATTCATAGGTAATAAATACTCCAAAGACTATTCAGTAGAACAATCTAGGACCACAACTAAGTTTAATTCCAGTGCACTGACTAAATGTTTCAGATGGGTTCTATTGTTTCACTTCTTTCATGGCCTTAACTAAAAAATTATATGTGAACATTATGAGCTATACTCAGGCTTTTTCCAAACTGTGCCACAGGATTACCCAACAGCACTTGTTAAATGCAGATTATAGAACCCAACCCAGAATCTCCTCCAGCTAGCATTTTTTCCCCCCAGGGAGTCAATAAGTTAGATTGAATTTTATTTTTTTTAAAAAATATATATATATATATATTTTCTCCCATTAAGTTTATTGGTACATTTTTGGTATACAATACAGTTATATTCATCATTGGGATCTTGTACCATTAAATGAGTCTCTTGGTTCTTATTTTTTTTGCCCTTCCCTTGCCCTCCCTTCACCCCCTCCACCCTTCCCTATTTGCAAAGACCTTGTTTCCATTTTTTTCCT